GGGGGGGGGGGGGGGGGGGGGCATGTTCTCTACAGACATTTAATATCATTGCCATTTAACAACAAACATTCATTGACTCCCAAGAGTTTTCACATGTTAACATATTCAATCCTTTCAACAATCTGTGATGAAGACATTGTCATTCACATTTGATAGATGAGGAAACAGACACTGGGCAAGGGGGAGGGTCGAGCCAAATCTCACAGCACTGGCGATGCCTGTGGAATTCAAATGTAGAACTTCTACTAGTGTGTCCACCACACCTTTCTCTCACCCAACTGCCCATTAAACTAAGCAAAAGTCACACAGACACCTAACTACCAGTCATCTCTGCTGTATTTAAAAGGATTTGTCTGCCATGCCTCTGAAACAGCATTTAAGGGTTCTTAACCTGGGATCCACAGACCCTTCCCCACAAGAGATCCATGGATAGAATGCAGGGCATCTTTGTACTTGGATGATAAAAGATTTGGTCTTTAGTTTTACTAACCTCTGACTGAAATTAAGCATTTCCTTTTATTATAGGTGTAGGCAACAAACCCTAGCAGTATGAGTAGCACCTATGACTGTGTCACCAATAGAAGTCACAGATACTTCAAATCAGATTAGAGCTGTTGCAGACATCCAAAAGTATCATTTTTGTTCATCACTTTGAAATTATAGTAGCTATAAGACCTGTCACTAGATCTTGCTAGTTCATGTGATATGTGTGTATATATCTATAAATCACATTACATATATGTATGTATGACATATAAACAATACATGTAGTTTTTTAAGTATTTTGATACCTGCATTTCATTATGATCGGTTTCATTTGTAATCTATGTGTTTTATATTGTGCATTTGAAAGTACTATTGTGAGAAGAGGTTCATATTCATGGAATGCAGAGTAGTCCATGGCACAAAAAATGATGAAGAACTCCTCTGTCTCCAGCAATGAGCTGTCTCTGTCCTAGAGACCTTCTGGCCAGCAGGGGGCAGGCTGCAGTCACAGTGTCACATGGGACTGTGAAATCTTTGTGTCAATGTGGACATAGCATTGATTACTGTCTGGGGGAAGCAAAGGAATAAGCAGCTGGCATGCCTGCCATTAAGGGCTAGAAAAATGCCTGGGGTTACTGAGGGGGAAAATAATATATATTTTGGTGGCTGGCTGGTACTGGGATCCAAACCTGTGATCTTGGTGTTACAAGGCTGTGCTCTAACCAACTGAGATAACCAGCCAGCCTAAGACAATGTTAAATGGGTATAATGGCCCACTAAAGTTTGAGGCTTTAGGAAGGAAAAGGAAAGCTGCAGGCTCCATGAGGTCAGGGAGTACAACTTATTAGCCGATCCGTAAACTCTCAGAGCCTAGCATGTTGCAATGCCAGAGATAACCAGTCTCAGTTCCTTATACCATGAAGAGTCTGCAGAGGGAGCAGTGGGGGTCTGATGAACAAGGATGTCTTTAGTTAAAAACAAAACTGAGGGCCGGCCCGTGGCTCACTCGGGAGAGTGCGGTGCTGATAACACCAAGGCCCCGGGTTCGGATCCCATATAGGGATGACCGGTTAGCTCATTGGGTGAGCGTGGTGCTGACAACACCAAGTCAAGGGTTAAGATCCCCTTACCGGTTATCTTTTATTAAAAAAAAAAAAAAAGCTGAGAGAACTTCTACTTCCAAAGATGGCAGATTAGATGATTCAGACCATTCCTAGCACTAAGGACAATTAGAAAAGGTGGACAAAAACACCAGATGATGCCAAATGTTCCTAACACAAAGAAATGGCAAATGTTTGACATGATGGATATACTGAGCACCCTGATATGATCACTGCACACAGTATGAATATATCCAAATATCATATTGTACTCCATAAATATATACAATTATCATGGATCGATTAAGAAAAACCAGAAATGGAGAGTAGAATAATGGTTACTAGAGGCAGGGAAAAGGAAGGGGAAAGGTTGGCAGACCTGTACAAAGTTACAAAGTTACAGTTAGATAGGAAGAATAAGTTATGGTGCTCTAGGATGACAACAGCTAATATTGTATCGTACATTTCAAGACTGCCAGAAAAGAGGATCTTGAATGTTATAGTCACAAAGAAATGATAGATGTTTAGGTGATAGCTACGCTAACTACTCTGATCAGATCATTATACAATATATGCATGCACTGAAACAACAAACTGTACCCCATAAACATTTATACTAAAAAAATTTTTTTTAAAAAAGTAAATGGTTAAAAATAAAAGGAAGAAAAGCTGGACAAAAACATTAAACATATCTACTTGAAAGCCTATCAGAACTACAAGATAATAAACAATTATCAGGTCAGGATTCAAGCAAGGATGGAGGCCCAGGGAGGCAATCTTGGTATTTCACTCTGGGAACATTTGCTGATCCAAGGTGGGTAAGAGCAATGCGGAGCTGAGCTTTTGACAGGCTCCCAGGACTAACAGCATAAGAATTGGAGCCCAGGGCCTGCCAACGGATGGGTAGAAGGGACCCAGGTGAAATCATTCCCTTTGAGTTCAGACCTCAAAGTGCTGTACCCATGAATAAGAATTGACACACCTCATAGGGACTGCGGTTCTGCTTCAAATAATCAAAGCCTCTGCAATTGGCCTGGAGTGATCCAGGTGTGCCAGTGTTCACAAACACCTTGGCAGAAGCAAAGGTGAATCCTTTCTGGTGGGGAGAACATCATCCTAGGCTTCAATTATTTCTGCAAACAATTTTGCAGGTAAAATGTCTAGCACACAAGTAAAAAATAACAGCACACAAGGAGATAAAATGAACTAAAACCAGCAAAAACAACAAACATTAGAAACACATTAATAGGGGCTCTTGTTAATCTAAGTCTTATTTATATAAGACTTTATATATCACTGTGCTTACTATGAGTAATCTAACTGACTATAAAATCACTTTGCTTACTATGTTCAAGGAAATAAAGGACGTGATTTGAACATTTCAGGAGGCAGCTGAAAACAAAGGTTTAAAAAGAAGCAATTTGGGGCCGACCCCGTGGCGCACTCGGGAGAGTGCGGCGCTGGGAGCGCAGCGACGCTCCCGCCGCGGGTTCGGATCCCATATAGGAATGGCCGGTGCGCTCACTGGCTGAGCACGGTGCGGGCGACACCACACCAAGGGTTGCGATCCCCTTATTGGTCACGAAAAAGACAAAAAAAAAAGCAATTTGAACGTGGTGTTACAACACCAAGGTCAAGGGTTCAGATCCCCAAGCTGGCCAGCTACCAAAAACTAAAAAGAACAAGTGTTCTAAAATTAGATATTGGATTGTACCAGTCAGCCACCCACCCCCCCCAAAAAATTAAATTTTGGAGAGTGTGGTGCTGACACCACCAAGGTCAAGGATTTGGATCTGCATGTGGAATATATGGTTCCCAGCATCCTCTCCCACAATCAACCAATTTACAACTATTAAAATGCTACAGAATTCATGAAGGCAAGAGAAGCCATGATGACAGAAAGAAAGGACTGCTTTGACTGTTTAGAGCCCCGACCACTTCAAGTCTGGCCCTG